CTTCTCTTCCCCCTTTTTGGCTCCTGGGCTCAAACTTAGGACCTTGTCCTTCTCACGCAGGTGATATGCCACTGAGCTACATCCCCAGACCCTAAATGGAAGAGAACAAAGGTACATGTGTTTCCACCTGGTTTCAAACCCGGGACCTTTCAAGTGTGTGGTGAATGTGATAACCACTACACTATGGTATGGAAACTGCCCCTATTCTACATTGACTGTATCACAACCAGATATTATATTTTATGTTTATGTCCTTGTTTATTTTCTACCATACATGTTAGGATGATATGGGGATATGAATCTGTTTTATATTATTTTGTACTAGATCCTGACAACTACTATAATCTCTGATACAAAATAAGGGCTCAATAAATATTTATTCAAATGGTAAATGAGCTTTAAAATGATTTAGTTTCTGCCTGACCTCTCTTACCTCAAAATGTCTTTGAAATACTGGTTTTTTTCCAATTATCATGTTGCATTTCATTGCAAGTTCTCTTTAACATTTGTTTTAAATCTTCATAATAATTAATAGCAGTTAATTAAACTTACATCTAAATTTTACTTGCTGCTTTTATTCTGCATCATGACATCTCTATTCTTAAATTCTTTATTCCAATTACTGTAGTTTACTTTTGTCTTTCAAACAGAGTGATTGGTTTCTGTATTTGGGTTTTTTTGGAGTTTTTTTTTTATTTGCTCATTTGTTTTTGGTTTGTGTATGTGCAGAAAATCAATTTTTAAATATAACAGCTGAAATAAATACTATCTGAGTTCTGGGTTACAATCCTATGCAAAATTAAGTCAGTCCTCAGGGACTGCTGAGCTTCTAGGGTTCCCTACTTTGCGTCCTCAAAACCCCACCCCACCCCAATTCTAGGTATATTTTTCAGTGTTTCTGTCTCCTCCCCTTGCCATCCAGGTCTCTTGTCATGTTTCTTTCCATAATTCTCATGTGCCGCTGCTAACAACTGCAGTGAGGAAACTCTAAGCCCATATTTATTAAACTTGCACTCAGGCTAAAAGTGAATAAGCTAGGACTGATTCAAGTGAAGTTACTCTGATTTAAGTAAAGCTAGTTTCTGTTTCTATTTTTTAGTTTGCTTAACTGCCATCCTTTGAATAGATTCTGAATGTGTGGGCATTTGTGTGTCTGTATTTTCTAGCTTAGGTGAAAACTGTAATTTATACATTGAAGTTTTCTGAGCCTGTACTTGTATTTCTGGGAACCCTGAGGGAAAACGTCGTTCATCTGCTCTTGTTCCCAGTAGGCGGGTCTCATCGGCTCTTGATTGAACACCCTCCACTCCTCCAAAGACCAGGAACGGGATCTTCAAGTAAAATTGCTTTCTCTTTTCACGTGCAGTGATGTGAGGCATATAATACTAGAAAAGATTTCAGTTAGCTTTTCTCTAGATATTAAGACAGATTTTAAACTCTCTTTCCTTAGCATCCCACAAAAGAAAAGCGCCACCCGCAATAGGACCACGCACAGTACCCGCAGCCAGGGTGGGAGACAGAGGAAGAAGGTCTCCATGATTGCGTTGCCCTGATTCTTGGATGTCACAGTTTTCCACTGGAGCTCGTACTCGGCAAAGCCCTTCGGGCACAAATCTTGTCCCTCTTCTGATAAATTCTACTTATTATACTGTGCTGTGTACACTCTAGAAGCTAGATAAATGAAGAGTAATAATAACTGTTATTTTTACAGCAACTGTTATCAAATCAGAAATCTGACACCTAGTAATTTAATATATATGTTTTTCCACATACCTTTATTGCTGTTTGGCTAGATAGAAAATATGAGGAGATTGGATACCAACTGTTAATATTTCTACAGCCTTAATGGCAAAAGCTTTTTCTTTTCTTTATTATCTTGCACCACTTACTGGATCTACTGCTTCTCAGGGCTGCATTCTTTGTTTTTCTTCTTTCCATGATCCCTCATCTAGGAAGTCTTTCCAATTTACCAACTATTTCCATATGTTTGCATCAGTCCATGTTTCCTTAGCAGTTCTCTTGCTTTGTGGCACCTGAATGCAGTCTCTTTAATGTTGTTTACTGTTGATCTGGACCAGAGGACAGGACTCAACTGACCTAGAAATCCATATGACTTCAAGCAAATTGTTTCCCAATCTCGGTTCTGGTTTCCTCAACTACAACATAGAAATCACAGCAATATCTGTCACATTGCATGGATATTGGGAAGTGAAATTGTATTATGAAAATATTCTTGTTCTTCATTAGAGATACTTCCCTTTCCTTTGCCTGTGTGATTGGCGGTAAAACTTTTGGGGGTGTGTTGTACATATTTGTCCTGTTCCAACTAAGTTATGAAGTTTCTAGTAGTCAGGTTGTACTACAGATTTCAAACTGCAAAACCACAAATATATATGGAGATTTCCTACATATATGATGCTGTGAAAGGCCTCATAAAAAGAAGGGAAAGAAAAAAAAGAAAATATGATAAAACATACCTAAAGCTTCCTGTGTAGTTAGACAATAAAGGATGTAAAAAGTTAAATGATACAAGTAATTTAAATACTAATCTAAAATCACAAGAGAAGTAATGGCTAAAAAATGATTTGTTTCCCACTAAATAGATCAGAAAGTAATTGTAATCAGAGGCTAGAAGACAAAGGAGACCTGACTCTCCAATGTAGAGGTGGTAAGGGCAGGTTTTCAGTAGGTGTCAAGTGTTTGCGGCAGATTTGATAAATAGTGGGAAAAAGAAACATCCTTTTATGGTTTGTTGAATTCCTATTGATGTAGCACAGGATTTGGAAACATTTCAAGGGAAATATAAGCTAATGTAAGTTGAGGCAAAAGTCCACTGGGGACTCTTGGAAACACTTCTGATGTTTTGAACTGCATCACCCCCACCCTTTCATGTTTCATATAAACTTCTGAGCCCATACGCTGTATCATTTCTTACCTTATCTACTAGTAGGTCCAAAGGCCTGACCTCATCGGAGGAATTCCAGCCAACAGGACTCAAGTGAGTGCTGATTCTTCTCTTGTCTCAGTAGCCAAATCAGATCGACTGTGCAGCAATCCAATTGATTGCTCAGCAATAGATCTGAATGAGCTAAAAAGCTCTCAATTACTTTTAGCATATGAATAGCTTACAAAAATGCATGCAGAGCCCCACAAATGTCTAGTTCCAGTCCTAAAATCCAGGAGTTATAAATGAAAGAATACGTCATAACATTGTGGGCTCTTCTTGCCAGTTCTTTCATCAAGGGTGAGTTTTTGATTCCAAGAGCCAGATTAACTGCCTTGTAGTTTAAAGACTTGCACTCAGGGACCTATGCTTTGGCTGGTTAGGATAATAAATAAAGCACAAGGATAATGTGTTTATTTGGACATGTAATTTAGTTTCTATATAACTGTATTTTTCTTTTAACTGCATACATGCTGATTCCTAGTCATCAGCCCTAGGCACCAGTAAAATCAGATTAAAAGCATTAGTAATGTAGTTAATTCCATTTATAATATCCCTACACCAGAGACAAGAACATTTAAATAAGGAAAATCTATAAAATGAAATTAAATACTTTTTTTGGAACTCCTCTTAAGAAAACTTTGAGAGACATTAATATTCTCAAGAAGGTTTTCAGCCAGATTTTGCCAACTAGTATTTGTAATCCCAATTAAAATTTGTCTTGGTCACTGGAGTCATCATCCTTTTTACTTGAGATTTATTTGGATGGTGTGCATTAAGCGATGGGAATTCTTCAAGGATGCTTTCTGCTTGTTGTAATATTGCCTTTTAAAATCTTACCTAATAATCACTATGGGCTAATCAATTTTTCTTTTGTATTAAAATATTGTTATCCACTCCTTTTGACCTACTGTTCTTGGGACAGCCCATGTATTATTTTTTCTACAACTCTCAGCATATTACATACATCATAATGGGATAAAAGCCCTAGCATTAAATCCAATCAATGGCTCCCACAGGTAGACATCTATTTCAACCTTTCTTTAATGTGCTGTCCTTTGTACATGAAGATGTCATTATTGATATTCAACTCATCTGCTATCTGGTGTGAGTTCTGGACTTTGTCCAGTACTGAGTGTATTTGGGTTAAGCTTTCTTTGTTTCTTCCTAGTCACCTCTCCAGATGCACTGTCCAATTTGACAGACAGGTGGGCTATAGCCATAGAATGATATAAAATTACCTAACCATGAATCACAACTGTAACAATCATTTCACTTGTTATTTATAGCCATAAAGCTAGATAATTTAAAGCACTTTAACTTTTACCCCTTATTTTTTTCTTGTACTTCTCAGCACTTAACTAATATCAGCAATGAAAGCTCTTGAAAATATACTATTTCATATATTTTTCATTAGTTCATGTTTTTAGAAATAAAATTATAAAAGTAAATATGTGTGTATAAAGCATATGTAAAAATAAAAAATTCCAGAAACTCATAAATGCCTGAAGTGAAAGTTGGCTGTTTAGTTCTTTCAGTCCAATCCTCTATTATAAAAGTTTCTAAAAGCATATGCGCATGTAAATATAAACACCTCTATGTAGGTATACAAGTAAATTATATATATAAACATCCAAATATGTTTTAATATAAAAATTAATATAACCCAGGGCTAGAGTGTAGCTCATTTCTAGAGTACTTGCCTACATATACAAGGTCCTGAGTTTCATCTCTAGCTCTGAAAAAAAAATCATACAACTTGTTTTCTTTGATGATGTCATTTTTTAATATTTCCTGAAAAATTTTTTGCTATAGAATATTTTGTTAATTTAATGGTTGCATAAAGTTTTACTATGTGGATTAATGATAATTTACACTATACCTTTCTTGATGGAAATTTAAATTGTTTCTAATTTTTGACCATTAAAAATAATACTACAACAACATGTTTTGCACCAGATCTCTACTTAGCAATAACAAATTAAACTAAAAGTAGCTTCAAAGCATGATAAACCTTTAGCATCTCATAGTTTCCATTGGTCAAAATTTTAGCAGCAGCTTAGCTTCTGGATCTGGCTTGAAGCCTCTCATCTGTTGTCATGTGAGTGCACTTCAGATGTTGGAAGTTATCAAAGATGGGTCCAGAGGCGGGGGCTTTAGCTCAGTGGTTTCGCCGCCTGCTGCGCAAGCTCAAGGACCTGAGTTCGATCCCCGGTAAAAAAAAAAAAGATGGGTCCAGGTCTGAAGGCGTTCTGCTCATACAGTCAGTAGGTTGGTCTGGTTGTTAGTGGAGGTCTCAGTTCTGCCTCAGCATGGATTTCTTGAGTGTTTTCATGCCATGGCTGCTGACATTCTAAACACGAGCAACCAAAAAAAGCAGGATCCAGGTAGAAACGCTCCTTTCTGTGATACCACCTGGGAAGTCTCCCAGCATAACCTACCAACACATTTTCTCAGTTAAAAGTAAATCACAAAGTCTGGCCAACAGCTGAGAGGAGAGGAATTACACTTCACCAGTTGAAGGTATTTACTGGTATGTAGTAAAATTCCTATAAACAAATGAACAAGTAAATAAATAAGGAAATGAATGACATGTAGCAGTATCTTAAAGATATATTAGTAGAAATGGAATTGCTGAATAAGTGCCAGTGCATATTTCAAAAGCTGAAAGATATTGTCATTTTGTCCTCCAAAAAAGGATGTTAAAACTCCTAAATCGACAGAATTTAAATGCTGCTTGTTTTGCCACAATCTCGTGAACACTTGACATCAGTGGGCTGGTTTTATATTTTTGTCAGTCTGATAGGTGATAAACTAGGCAAATTTATATTTCACCTGATTGCCAGTGAGTTTAACATTTTAGACTGGCTAATCACTTCTTTGATGAGTTACTTGTTAATATCCTTTGCTGTTTTAAAACTTGCTACTTGCTGTCTATGTATGTTTCACATCTCAAAAGACTCCAATGAGTATGTATTAATATATATTTCAGAGCCCTATATTTACTATGGTTAATAATTGGTTGTCTTTTATAAATGAGAATGTTACAAATACTTCTTCCCAGTATGCTATTTTTTAATGTTCTTTTAATAAGTCATTTTATAACATGTAGAAGTTTACATATTTTCTCTAGTATATATATATTTTATATATATTTTATATATATGTTTTATATATAAAATATATATATATATGTTTTAAAATTCTTCAGAAATTCTTTTCTCATTACTCCATAGTGTAAGTTTTCTATTTTCATGTGGAACTTTTTTTGCAGGTATTATGAAGTTAGAAACTAACTTCAGTTTTCTTTCAGATATTCTTAAATGGTAGTTTAAAACTTTTATCCATAGAACTAAGCCTAATATGAACTCCCCCACCCTCAATAAAGTTTCTACTCTTTGGATTGTACCTACATCTCCTTATTTACCTGGCCTTTCCATGAAAAGGTAGAAGGCAAAAAGGGGGAGTCCCACTGAGTACATAGGGTTGGTTCCATAGAACACAGTTTAAAAGCCACTATTGTTCTAAAATACCTAAAATTTTGAATCAACTATACTTTGTTAGAAGCAGTTGTTCATTCAGAAACTAGGAAACATGTAGTTACTTTATGCATTTACATTAATATTGATATATGGGTATAGTCTTATGTAATGCAAATTTATGTACTTCTATAGTTTGATTTAATGTTTAAAAAATTAAATCAAACCAATATACAGCAACTACTTATATTTTGAAAACTAGAGGAACATAAATTATAAATTAATGAAATTCGGTTTTTTCTAATAATAAAACCATATGTTTTCAGGAACCAGGTAATGCATTCTATCTCTGAGGAAACAATTCATACTTTCTAGACATTCACCTACCCACTGTATGAATGAGTCATGAGCTCAGACAACAAGCACATAGTTTCAGATGCTGTGGCACCCACACTGTGGGTGTATCATTTCTATCCTAAAATATATACACTGCAGGCACATATGGACCCACACAGAGTAAATCACAAAGCTTTGTATCCTTTGAGTCTTTCTCTTTAGAGTGTGATGGATCTCATTATTAATTAAAGAATCATTTAGCTTGCATAATTGTCTTCTGCCATGCATAATTCCAACCTTTCAATGTCTCTTCAAGTTGGCTTATTAGACTAAATGCTTCCCTTTGTTTTGGTGACATCATCAATCACAGCCTGCTGATGGAGAGACTTAGCAGTGGAGTGAATACAGATGTAAAGAGAACCTCTCTTTGTTCCCTAGAATTTACCAACAGATAACATTAGTTGTGATTTTCTTGGTTCTTTAAAACTAGGAAGACTAAGACACAGAATTCTGCAGTGGAGAAGGTCAGGCTGCCAGTTGGAAGGAATTAGCCATTTGTTGTTATGTGCCTGTTGAGCTATGTAAATATTTTAGGACTTTGGACTAAATTGTTGACAAGACATAAGAATATCTAAAACAGGCACAACTGTCCTTTTACAGCCAAGCATGCTACGTTCCCATCTACCTTTTATCTTTATTTTTATAGAGTAAAAAATAAAATACACTTTTAAGATGGCCAATAAGTACATGAAAAAATGTTCAACATTACTGAGCAATGGAGAATGAAGGTTAAAACAACATTGAGATACCATCTTACTCTACAAAGAATGGCTGTCATCAAGAAATCAAATAATAACAAATGCTGGTGAGGGTGCAGGAAAAAAGAAACTTCTGTAGTGTTGGTGGGAACGTAAATGAATGCAAATACTATGGAGATTTCTCAAAAAACTAAAACTAGGGATTCCATTTGACCCAGTTATTTCCCTTTTAGGAATCTTCCCAAAATAGTTAAAGTCATCATATTACACTGATATTTGTATAGTCATACTTATAACAGCATAGCTAAATTTTGGAAATAGCCCATATATCTATCAACAGATGAATGGATAAAGAAAATTGGCATTTATACAGAGTAGAATACTACTCTGCCTTAAAGGATAAATTTAAGGCACTTGTAGGTAAGTGTATGCACCTAGAGACCATAATGTTGAGTGAAATAAATCAAATACACAAGTTAACATATCTTCTATGAGAAACTTAGAATATATAAAAAACAAATAAAGGATAATTATGCTTCCCTTGAAAGTCAAGGTAAGTTTTTCCTTGAATATTTTGAAGTTCTAGTCACAGGGTTAAAATATTCAGAGAATTTGAATTGGCAACTTCTTTTGAATCATATAGTCATTATTTTATTGGAATTATTTTAGAGTTGTATAATCAATATCACAGAGAAAATTTGAGGAAGATGTCTCCTATTAAAATCTAGTAAGGTTAAGCCATTTTTTATTAAATTTAAGCATTAAATAAGTAAGGTGTATGCACTGTTCAAAATTCACAAAATATTAAGTGGCAAGAAATGAAAAGTCAATTTCCTTCTCTCGCACTCCCCATCCTTTCACCATTTTATCTTGGACAAGTATGTTGCTAATTTCTTATATATCATTTATGAGTATAGATTTTAAGAAATCTTCCACTTGCATGTATTTGTATTATATTTTTTTCACACAAATATTTACAACATATAAACACTTCAGTGCAACTTTCTTTTATCACTGAATGTATTTGGAGACTTTCAATTCTTGTGCATGTATAAATACTTTTATTTTCTTAATAGCTATAGAATACTCTATTGTATAAACATATTGTGAGATATTTTTTAAAATTACATTATGAGATAACCCTTCCTGTGTAAGTGCTTTGCGGATTTTGAAAAAATATAAACAAAGAAATCTATTTCTGGATCATCAGATCATATCTATTGTCCTATAATATTGACATGTAGTCCCTGACTTTTGTTTTATAAGTAAGATGATTCTCTTTTCTCCTCACTTATCCCAATATTTTTTCTGAATACTCTAATATAAACAAATTGCAACAAAAATTCTTCTGAAACAAATGAATATCTACATTCAAAGAATGAATTTGGATCCCTACATCATACCATACACCAAAATGGATACAAAGAGGATCATAGAGCTAAGTAGAAGAGCTAAAACTATAAAGATATTAGAAGAAAATATGAGGAACTATGTACTAGATTTCTTCCATAGGTTACTAAAAGCACAACTGCTAAAAGAGAAGCTTGGCAAGTGGAATTTCCTCAACATTAAGAATATTTTACATCAAAAAATCATCTTCAATAAAGTGTTAAAATAAAGTATATATTTTAAGGAAATATTTACATATGGTATATCTGATTAAAGAAATATATAAAGGATCCAGAATATATAAAGGATTTTTACAAGTCAATATTTCAAATACAAATAATCCAATTGAAAAATGGGCAAAGAATTTAAATAAACATTTCTCCAAAGATGATTTACAGATTTTCAATAAGCATATGAAAAGATGCCCACTGTCTCAGCCATAAGGGAGCTAGGAAATCAAAATCATAATGAGACATGATTTCATATCACCAAAATGTCTGTAATCAAAATGACAAGCAATAACAAAGATGGGTGAGGATGTGGAGAATTGAAACCTTCCTGCATTGCTGGTGGGAATATCAAGTGTTGCAACTGTTTTGAAGAACAGTTTAGAGTATGTGAGTTGCCTATAATTAATATTGTCAAATTTTAATTTGTACCATTGTGATGGGTATATAATGTCTCTTTGTGATTTTAATTTGCATCTTTATGATAAACAACATGGCTGGGAAGCTTTTCTGGTCATTCCTATTCTAAAGATGTCTCTCTCTGTCTCTCTCTTTCTCTCTCTCTACATTGGGGACTTTACTTCAACTAATTTGCAGGCAAATTTATTGTTTTAATACATTTATGTAAGCAACAGGTACTTCATGCATGCATACTAGTTGCTTTGGTGAGTAAAATAGGTGAAGATCCTTGTCTTCATTAAACTTAATTTCATGAGAGACAGACAGTAAATAAAATACATAAGCAATAAGTAAATGATATGGTATTTGAAATATGTTAAGTATTATAGAAAAAAATAAAAGAAGAGCAGGATTGGGCATTTTAAATATGGTGGTCAGGGCAGGTCTTGTTGACAAGGTGAATATGAATAGTGACTTAAAAGGGGAAGAAGTTGCCATAAAGACATGGGGGAGTGTTCCTGTGAAAAGCCTGTTTCCTAACCTAATTGCTATCTTAAACACTAACCCATTTGAGAAAAATCGTGGAGGGGTAAGCAGTAACAACTCAGTCCCTCCAAGATTTGGAATCCAGACACTGGAAAATAACAACTTGGGGAAGCAAAAAGGAGAAAGAAGTAGATACCTGGGAACCAGCAATGTTCTGAGAAGAAAATTAAAACCAACAGAGAAATTGAAGAAACAGAACACAACATAGAGAAGAGAAAGGACAATCTGCACCTTTGCCCCAGCTCCCTGCTCATGGTTCATGGAAAACAGAGACTGAATCTACAAACACAAATTGAAAGCTGGGCATCCCCAAAGGGTTCAGGGAGAAACACAGCAGTGGAATGGATTGGCAGGTGTTGTGAGGGCAGGGAGAGCATAGTATTCTGGCTCCAAGCAAGTCTTTCAAGAAGCCACA